GGAGGAGATACTGGACACCATATGAAGGTCGGTCTCATGGTCTTGGTGTGGGGACATTGTGGTCCATCGTTGGCTGGGTTGTATTAATGAACACGTCTCTCCAGCAGATGCCCCCAATGTCTGGAAGACCTCGATGGGCCGAGTCGTCTCCTCTCCACGTACAGAAGATGACGGCAGAGGACAATTTTCTCCGGGTGGAAGTCCTGATAACCAACATCCAGTGACTCACCCCAAACTAGAGTCCTCCACATGCTTACATTGCGGTCAATATTTTAGAGAGCAGCGTCATCTGAAGGCCTACTCCTGTACAGAGTGCAAAAAGTCCTTCAAGAAAAGAGCGGACTACGTCAGGCATCAGAGAGTTCATACCGGCGTGAAGCCCTTTTCCTGTCCGCAGTGCGGGAAATGTTTCTCACAAAAAGGACACCTCAGCATCCATTTGAAACGTCACTCTGGCGAGAAGGCGTTTTCCTGCCCCGAGTGCGGGAGAGGTTTCATTAATAAGTCTACGCTTATTGGCCACCAGATAATCCACACCGGCGAGAAGCCGTTTTCCTGTCCCGAGTGCGGAAAACGTTTCTCACAGAAAGGACACCTCAATATCCATTTGAAACGTCACACCGGCGAGAAGGCGTTTTCCTGCCTCGAGTGTGGGAAACGCTTCACTCACAAATCTACACTCATCAACCACCAGAGATTCCACACCGGCGAGCAGCCGTTTTCCTGCTTAGAGTGCGGCAAACGCTTCACGCGGAAAATGAATCTCGACCGACATCAGAAGATTCACACGGACCCGGCTTTATTCTCCTGTCTGGAGTGCGGAATGCCCTTTAGAGGGAAGTCTGAGCTGAGGATACATCAGAGAAGTCACGTCGGGAAGAAGATCTTTCCATGTTCAGAGTGCAAGAAGTCATTTATTAGCAACTACGAACTCATTAGACACCAGAGGACTCATACGCGGAGAAGAAGCCGTTTCAAGGTTCCACACGCGGGAAATGTTTCTGCACTAGAGGACTCCTCAACGGCCATATGAAAAGTCACACTGGTGAGTAGCTGTTCTCTGCAGCGTGTGGGAAGTGCTTCATATGAAAAGATGAGCTTCTTCTACAATGGAGGATTCACAGTGGCAGTCGGGCCTTTTCCATGCATTGTGTGTGGGAAAGGTTTCACAAAGAAAAGGAACTTCAGAGAACTCATGCGCACTGGTGCTGGTGGTGTTCCGTAGAATGACTCTGTCCATAACAGTCCTGTGTGTGGGGCACAGATGAAGACGTTTTATAAACTGCAGATGCACCCGGAAGTGGTATGTTGGGTTACAAAACAATTCGGTAGTCTCACTATACTGCCAACGTTAATGCAGCAGGACTGAGTACAAATAAAGTTTATATAAACCCCCAAAAACATAAATGTCATATATAATATATCGCACATCCTCCTGGACTCGGCAGAAGTCCCTTTAATCG